GAAGTTGCCCTGGCCGAGCCAATCTCCTGACATGAACCCCATTGAAAACCTCTGGGACATACTCGACCGGCAAGTCAAGAAACAACCAAAAAACCAACTTCGAAGAGCGATCTACGCCAAGTTTTGAAGCAAGAGTGGGCAAAAATCCCACAATCTGAAATTGACGAGATGATTCTCACGATGCCCCAAAGGATCAACGAACTCCATGAAGCGAAAGGAAGATTTACTAGAAATTAATTAAAGTATAAATATATCAATTCATGTGAATATGACTGAAAAATTTCATTTTTTCTGAAAAGGTGGTATCTATTTACTTGTGACCACGCTGTGTATATTCATTGTTATTCAGGCAGTATAGAACAGTTTATCTAAATGCAGTTGGTAATATATCATGTAACACAATAACTCTAAAGTTCAGTTTTCTTTAATACTGTTTTATACAATATACATTGTTTCTAGGAGCTTTTTGTTTGTTTCTTTACTCAAGTTTCTCCCTATAGCATCATGTTGTGTTTTAATTTTCAGTTATAAGTTTGGGGTATATATTGTTTAACAATCATTGTAATTTAATGTTTTTCTTTAAGTAGAAATGTAGGAAATGTTCTGCTCTAGAAGAAATTATCCATTGACTCCTAATTATCAGTCTTAGACAATAAGTGAAATTAATTTTATGAGCCTGAAGTAATTCAATGAAATGGGCATTCATATGCTCAAAACAAGTTGTCATACATTGGGATACTATTTTGATCTGTAAGAACAGAGAGTTGTGGTAAATATTGGAAAGTTGTTTTTATATATATTTATTTTAATAGCTATTTGGCTGCCAGCAAACAGTGAATTTACAAATTTTCATTGGCACTGATCATGGAAAAATTCAGCCTCATATGTATTATCAAGCTGTTAGAGTTGCAGGAAAAAGTGCCACTTCATGTATTCAATGGAAAATTGAAGGCACAAGTGTATTGGAAACACAGATGACACCAAAAAATGACATGACTGTTTGGTAAGCTTACTTACATTGTTCTGAAGTCTTAACTTTTCATCTGCTTAGGGAAAAGGGTTTGTTAATAGTGCATGTTTAGCATTCATATTGTAAAGTGTAAAGATGAAACTAAACATCTAGCAGGATTTCTCAAAATGTAGATATTGTAGCTATATGTTGCTGTCATAATTTTTCAAATGACATGAATTGAGAAGTTAATTGTATAATAAGTATCTATTTTAGGGTGGCCCTTATCCAGGGGATAAAAAAAATAGTAATTTTATTTGGGCTTGCATACACAATAAAAATCACTGTGAAACATTTGAGGAAAAGTAAGGAAAACAGAATTGTTACATAAAAATTTACTATAGAACTATAAAATAATTATTTGCCAGTATTCTCTCATTTTACTGAATCAAACAACATTTGCTTCTACAGCTTTCATAATGGTGCTTTTCTTTCATAAGGAATTTCTTCCTGTGCTCCTAGATCACTAGAAGTAGGTACTGTTTTGGACCTTGTCTGTGGTGTGAAGCTGATTGTATTCTTCCATTAGATTCTTTGGTGACATTGACATGGAGCTGCTTGCATGTTTCTTTGCCCTTCAAAAACCCTTCATCTTGTTCCATTGGCCTGCATCCTGTAGGAGGATGGAGTCTGATTTTATATATCCATGATTTTTTATAAACTGGAGGCTGTTGGCTATAATGAAGTTCTATAGGGCTCCAGCATTTGTCTCCAAATCCATCTCTGTTACTGTTGGTTTGTTCTGATGAATCTCATTCATGTGGTTACTGAGAGCTTGGAGCATATGGCATTTGGTCTCCACAGATACATCATCATTGAAATTATCAAGATTGATGAGCTTCTCAAACAAATATCTGAGGTGGTGAATGATATCTTTAGTGCAATGTTGGCCATCTGTGGATTCAAAGTCTTGTAAACTTGAAGATCCTGGTTGAGCTCCAGATTGTTCTTTGGAGCAGACTCTGGGAGGGGGCTTGGTACCATGCTTTGATGTAAATGGTAGACATGAATATGCAAATTCTTCACATCTGTGCCTTCTCTTTGACCATAACATTAAATTGGCATCGAAGCATGAAGACTTTGTGAGTGTAGATGGTGAAAGCCATCTTCTTGATGCAATGCATCACTCTTGGAACCATCAACTGAACTCTTCAAAGCAGCATCCCTCTGAACAGAATAAGGCATTGATATTAGTAGAGCAGATCACCAAGAGAGCATGAAGTAGAATATGAAATCTTGGTGGTAACCTTTAAATTTGAAGGTATTATATTAAAAATTAGACCAGATTAGTTTTCACTAATCCTCACAAACCCCTGGGGTATCCCACTAAAAAATTTAGAAGTGTGAAAATAAGGGCAATGTATGTTTATACATGTAAATTGATATCTCTTCTTGTTGCATATCTTTATGTATTCAACTACTGTAGTTAATTATTGTACAAAGTAGACTTGTAGTAGTATTATATGTTGGTTTTTGAAAATATATTAGATCTAGTTTAAGGTTATGAGCATCGCACAAGAAGTTATTTGTTTCAGACACTAAAACATATGAGACTAATCATTATCAACTTAGATAAGGGAACTCTTTTACAAGTTGAGGTATGTCAATTAAAGTATTATTACTTATGTAGTGAACCATAAGTTTTATATTTGAAATTTTATTAGCTATGTCATCCATTTACAGAATGCCAGTTAACTCTTTCAACCCAGACTCGGTCCCTGGGACAGACCTCGTAACCATTTTGTGCTTGTTATTGTATTCATGCTATAATTTTTAAATTAGTAAGTGAATGTTAAAAAAATTTGGCAGATTATCAGTAAACATTACAATGCTTTAATACGCAAAATATCTAATTATTTATTAAGTCTTAAGGTTTGTAAATCAATGTTTTTCTCTCATGCCTTTTTTTTTTCTTTTCACA